TCGTCGTCGTCGTCGTCGTCGTCGTAGTAGTAGTAGTAGTAGTAGTAGTAGCCGTATAGTAGAAGTCGTAGTCGTATAGTGTTCTGGTGGGTCATGTTGGCGGGGAAGAAGGTGGAGGTGAAGGAGGAGGATGATGAGGAGGAGGAGGGGGAGGGGGAGGGGGAGGTTAGCGATGATGAGGAAGGCGGTGGGGCACGGGAAGGCAAGGTGGATGTGAGATTATTTTTGCTCCTGACGCCTCCGCGCCCAGGGCTGCCCGCCGCGGTCGCTCCCGTGGCCAAGCGACGCCTGGTGTCGAAGGCCAGTCACAGAGCCGTGGCCGCGGTGCCGCAGGAGAAAGCCCGTGTGGGGCTGGGGGGGCCTCGTTCGGCGACGGACGATCTTCATCGAAGAAGAGAAATCCTACAGTGGGGGCGCGCATCAAGAAACCATGTATTTTTCGCCAGGGTATCCTAGTTTTTGTTCGCTCCTCGTGCTGCGCGGTGACTTCCCGCAGCCGTTGAAGGAGCTGCTGCGTTCAGGGTGCTCCATGTTTCCCCAGGTGCACCTCGCGCGCGGGTTCTCAGGGTTGGGTTTCTTGCGAGGGTTTCTTGCGGCCGTGCCCGCACTGTAACACTGGATTGTCGGAGTTCCGGATCGATCTCTTGTATCGAAGTCGCCTGCGTCGAATCACCGCCGACCTTTTGAATCGCCCATGTGGCCAACCATGTGGCCGAGCGTTGTTGCAAGAGCTCTGCCAAGCTATCGGATCATGTGTTCCCCCAGCCTTTGTGTAAACTTTTCGGAGCTTACTTGGGGGAGGATGGCGGGGAATATCATGAGGAGGAGGGTGAGGAGGAGGAGGGTGAAGAGGAGGAGGAGGAGGAGGAGGAGGAGGAGGAGGAGGAGGAGGGGGCATCTTGGGAGCCTCTTGGAGGCATCTTGGGGGCCTCCTTGGGCCTCTTGGGAGCCTTTAGGTCGGGGGCCTTTGCCTGCTTAGTTAGGGTGTTCCTGGCGCGTCTGTCGCCGTCGGAAGCCGTCTTGGGGGCTTCTCTGGGCCGACTTCGGGCCTTCTTGGGGTACTCCAGGGCTGTCTTGGCGGCCATCTAGGGTATTTTGGAGGCCTCGTAGGCCTTCTTGGAGCCCCCTTGGAGCCGTCTTGGGGGCCTCTCGGACTGTTCTGGGGCCATTTTGGAACCCTCTTGGGCGATCTTGGGGCGATCTTTGGGGCTCATGGGCTGTCTCTGGCCGTCGGAAGCTCGAACAGAAACAACTTCTAAAATCCTTCACAGACCTAAGGCAAGTCAATGATTTTGGCCTCTTCGAGCCTTCCTGTAGGCCCTCTTGGGGGCCTCTTGGGGGCCTCTTGGGCCGTCTTGGGGGCCTCTTGGGGGCCTCGTGGGCCGTCTTCCGTCATCACAGTGCCGTCTTGGGCCGTTTTGGACGGTTCATTGGCAAATTTGGAGGCGTCTTGGACGCTCTTGGACCGTCTTGGAGGCCATATTAGACCATATTGGGCGAAATGGAGGGCCATCTTGGCCGTCTTGGAGGCCATCTTGGAGCCATCTGGAGCGGGAAAAGCGTTTACAACCACTTCCGGTCAAGCCTTCCAGGCAAGCCTTCCGGGTGGCCTGCGCGCTGTGCCGAAGCCCCAGGGGAAGCTCTTTTGGCAAAGAACCGAAACCGAGCTGGCTATGATTCAGTACGCCAGATACCCCTGTGATAAATGAACAGGAGGCGGCGGATTTAATTGCTTTCGGACAATCCCGCCACCGTGCCTGGGTTGTGGGTCAGAGTTCTCAGGGATGCTTCTCGGGGTCTCTTCGGAGCGCTCTCGGGGGCCTCTTGGGAGCATTTTTGGGGCTTCTTGGGGGCCTCTTGGGGCCTCTTGAGGGCCTCTTGGGGCCTCTTTGGGGCCTCTTGGGTGCCTCTTGGGGCTTCCTGGGGCCTCTCGGGGCCGAGGGCTCGAAATGTCGGTTCGGGTCACCCGTCTGGGCCCCCTCTTGGAGCCGTCGCTGCGGCCTCTTGGGCCGTCTTGGGCGCTTCTTGGGTTGTCTTGGGGCCCTCGTGGGCCGTCTTGGGGCCCTCTTGGAGACCTCTTGGACCGTCTTGCGGCGAACTTGGGGGGCCGTCCGTCATGGAGCGTCGGGAAACCGAAAAGGCGAGAAAGCCAGAAACCTTCGAAAACCAATGCCGCATTCATATTTTTCCCTCTTGGAGCCCTCTTGGGAGGCCTCTTAGCGGCCTCTTGGGGGGTCTTGGGGGCCTCTTGGGCCGTTTGGGGGCAATCCCTTCTTGGGGCTCTCTTGGGCCGGGCTCAGTTGGGAGGCCTGTCGCCGATGCGTCGGCGACGTCGGGATGGAGAAAGGCGTGCTTCCTCTTCGAGTGGACTCCTGCCAGTGCCGCCGATCCGTGGCGCTCGTGCCCCCCGTCGGGGTGCACTGGGCGGGTCCCGGGGGGAGGGTCCCGGGGGGGTCCGCTGTGTTTCCTTGGCATCGCTCGGACGTGTGCATTTTTCCTTCGGCGAGGACAATCGAGGAGCATCCTTGATCATTTGGCGAAAAAATCACGCTCGGACGTCCATTCCGAATGGACGTCCGAGCGATGGCGAGTTTCTTTTTGTGCCTGTCGCGGTTCTCTCGATCGTCGTCCCTCCCGGTCTGTCCGCCCTGTCCTTTTCCTCCCCTCTGTGCCTCCCTCCTGCCGGTCCCTGCTCTCGCGGTGTCCTGCTGCTGCGCTCCCCCGCTCCTGCTCCCTGTTGTCTCTGCGACGATCCCGCTCGCGAAGCGAGGTTGTGGGTCGAATAGCGTCTCCATCGCTGGCTGTATTGTGTTTTTAAACCTCTGGCCAGTACGCTTGCGGCTGGCTCCTGTCAGGACAAAAAGTCTCTAGGCCTCGCCCCCCTGTTCTCTGCTGCTTGCCCCTCTTCTTTTTACTTTCTTGCGGTTCCCCTGCATTCGGCAGTCCTCTGGCCCGAGGTGGAACCAGCGCTCCCGACCCAGTCCCGTGGAAGGATGCTGTCCCTGTTCGCTGTCCGTCGCTTGCGGAGCCGAGGATGTCCATGGGGTCGTTCTTTGGTGCTGAGCAGGGCGATCGCTGGCATCCCAGGATCGTCGGCGTGTCAGGGCACTTATTCAAGCCGTTCGCTCTGGAGTGCGGGGCAAACTGGGACAGCTGCCACTGGTGGCTCCATCACCAGACGGCTGAGATTCGTGACCACATGGAGGACGTCGTCCTGGCTCAGCTGACTGCAGAGCACCACCCGTGGTACTCGTGAGTTCCCCAGGGCAGTGGGCGGCGGCGGCGGGGAGCGTCGACGAGGACGACGGTGGTGGTGGTGGTGGTGGTGGTGGTGGGTTGTTGTGGTGGTGGTGGTGGTGGCGGTGGTGGTGGTTGTGGTGGTGTTGTGTTGGTGGTTTTGTTTGTGGTGGTGGTGTTTGTGGTGGTGGGTGGTGGGGGTGGTGGTGGTGGTGGTAGTGGTGGTGGTGGTGGTGGTCGTGGTGGGGGTGGTGGTGGTGGTGGTAGTGGTGGTGGTGGTGGTGGTTTGGTGATGGTGGTGTGGCGATTTGTTGTGGCGGTGGTGGTGGGTTGTGGTGGCGGCGGTGGTGGTGGTTTGGTGGTGGTGTGGTGGTTGTTTGGTGGTGGTGGTGGGTTGTGATGGTGGTGGTGGTTTGTGGAGGTGGTGCTGGTGGTGGTGGCGGTGGTGATGGTGGTGTTGTGGTTTGTGGTGGTGGTTGTGGCGGTGGTGGTAGTGTGGTGGTGGTTGCGGCGGTGGCGGTGGTGGTGGTGTGGTAGATTGGTTGTGGTGGCAGTGGTGGTGGGTTTTTGTGGTGGTGGTGGTGGTGGTGGTGAGTTGTGGTGGTGGTGGTTGTGGTGGTGGTGGCTGTGGTGGTTGTGGTTGTGTGGTGGGTTGGTGGTGGTGGTGGTGGTGGTTGTGTGGTGGGTTGGTGGTTGGTGGGTTGAGGTGGTGGTGGTGGTGGTAGTGGTGGTGGTGGTGGTGCTGGCAATCGTCGCTGCGTCTCCGCCGTCGCCGGCGACGGCGCGAGGGTGGTGCTTTGAACCTGCCCCCCCCCCCCTTGGGTTGGTTCTGGCCATCGTCGCTGCGTCCCCGCCGTCGGCGCTGCTGGCGGCCGCCAGCGCCGGCGCCGGCCCCGGGGGGCGGGGGGGTGTTTTGAACCCCCCCCGTCCCCTTTGGGAGGTTGGAGGGAAGGAGGGCTTCGGGAGGGGGCGGGAGGGAGGGGGTTGGGGGGGAGAGGGGCACGGCGCCGAGTGTTGGGGGCGGCCCACCCCCGTGCTCGAAACGCGCCGCCGACTGTTCCCAATTCGAGCGCCCGTGAAACGCGCTCTCTCTCGGACTTATCGACTCCCGGGGAACCTATGCAACATACATATGATTCTGACCCAATGTCCATCCGAACTGCGAATTCATTCTATCCCAGCCAAGCCTGTATCGGTCCCCCTTCGGCTCCCTTACAAAGAATAACTATGCGCGCGCACTCGTTTATCAAAATCATACACTGTCATAAATCCTTTGCAACAGATCTGACGAAGTGCGCACGCGCGCGTCGTCGCGCGCGCATGCCGAAGTCTTTTGTTTTTGAAAGGACTTCAAAGTTGAGTGTGCAGAGCACACAAACACAGGGTTTCGCAACACGGATGTTTAACAACAACATGCGGTTTTTGCAACTTTCCAAGACAACATGTTTTTTTTTTACATTTCAATACATGCTACCAAGCGGGCTTCGCGCGCGCGCGTGTCGAAATCGATCGAACGCCCTTGCGCGCGTGCTGGGGTGGCACGATCCGTACCAAGTAACACCATGCGGGCCACTCTCGCGCGACTGCCGCGCGCGCATTTTGAAGCCCTCCCTAAACCCTTATCGCCGACGCGAAGACGCCGTCATCGTCGTCGGCGTGATCAGCATCGGCGCCGTCACATGCTGCCCCGTCGTCGCTGTCAGCATCATTGCCAGCATCGCTATTATCAGCATCGTGTCTACCGTTGTCGACGTTGTCATGATACCGCGCCCGCCCAAGTCGCCGACTCGCACTGCAGTGCCCGCTGGGCGCGCCGAGCGGTCAGCGCCACCGCGTTCGCGTCGGTCGCGCCAAACTTGCCGGGCGCTGCCCGCGCGAGCATGCGCGGGCTAGCGCGGCCGCAGGGATGCACCAGCCAAAACCCAGCACTTCGCAATCGCTCCCGCATGGGGTTTGCAACCCAAGTTGCAGGTAGGTGGGTGCGATGATTGCGAGAGCAGTGGAGTTGACAACTTCGCGTTCGGCAAGTGGATTGCACGACATAGATGGCACCGCGTAGGATGCACCATGTAGATTGCACCACGTACGA